GGTGTCAGACGGTTATAATTATCACTGCACACACACTCTGCTCCAGCACTGAACGGCATTCGTTAAAAAAAATAAAAATAAAAAGCACCAGTTTCCACGAGGAAAAAAAAAAAACAACATGTTAGGAGCAGTGGCTGTCTCCGTCGGCATAAAATGATGTCAGTTTCAGCTTTCCTAATTTTCGACTTCTGTTATCACACTTGAGGGACATAAATTATTCATATGTAATGTTCCAGTTTGCAGGCTCTTAGTTTTTTCCCCTCTATCCACAAATGTGTTGCATTCTGAAGCGATCTGGAGTATCCACCACTTTGTCCCATAGTGTCAGAGAACTAAAAATGTGAGGCGCAGGAGTGAGAATGGATCCAAAAGACGTTCATTTATGAATTATTAAAGCGTGCGGCAAAGGAAAGTGAATAGTCTCATTAATAAGCATTTACGTAAGGACGTTCCAATCCCCTGAAGCACAATTTTTTTATGGGATCTTTTCTTCGAAGCACTACGAAAGAATTGGAGAAGGTATTTTTTAATTATGCTATAATACCGCCAACTCATTTGCCATAAGACACTCGTCCTCCTTTTGTATGTGTTTGTATATTTACTGAAAGGAGCAGCCGGGATATCAGCGACAGATTATCTTGACTCAAGTGGTCTTTTAACGTACATAAAAAAGCAGGTCTATCTTTTTTTTCTTTTCTTGTATTCATAGCACAATGAACGCCGTGGTGTGGTGCTACCAGTGCCAAGGCAACAGTCAGAACAAAATGTACAAGCTGAGGGGATATTTATAGTCTTTTTAAAAAATGCTCAGATGAAACCGTGGCAGCATTTCAATTTCTTGTTTAAAAATTGTAATATTGTAAATTGCCTGCGTGGTTGTACATCACTGCAGCGTTCTGTGGAATTACCTTCTATAGAATGTCTATGCTATTCTGTGCTTCTATATGATGATGTTATACCTGTGCTGGACTGTGGAGTTGGCATGTTTCTTCCAGTGGTTGAATGAGTTTCCTCTGGGTGCTCCTGTTCCTCCCCCCAAGTATTTTGGCTCAGTAACGAGATATTAAGTAAGTAAGTTTTTATTTATATACCGCCTTTTCACTGCAGATCTGAGTCTCAAAGCGGTTTACAATTGTTAATTTGGGCAATTGTCTCTCACTCCACACAGAGATGGGAGCGAGGCCAGTACAGGAGGCGCATGCCAGAACTATTGGACATATTTTTAGTGGTAGGGGAAACCGGAGTACCCGGAGGAAACCTACGCAGACACGGGGAGAACATGCAAACTCCACTCAGAAAGGCCCTGGTCCGACCGGGATTCGAACCCAGGACCTTCTTGCTGAGAGGCGAGAGTGCTATCCACTCAGCCACCGTGCCGCATTGATGCATTCCCACTCGGGCTGCATAGACTTAACCATGATGAGAAGAGGTTTTATGACTCTGATAATTCTATGAAGGCTGCAGAATTAAATTGAAAGTATATACAGTATAATCATCAACCCAATGAGTAACCAGTCATCTCAATGAAGATGTTGTCCAGGGGCATTGCTTTGTTTTGGTCATATCTAGAAAACGTCCTATATTCACTGACTTTTGGGGATCTATCCAGATTAATCACAAATAATCGTTAATATAGCCCTGGTCCCCACTCATAGATTCATGACTGATAAAGTATAGAGCCACTGATTGTAACAGAATTCTAGTCCCCGTTCGGTTTCTAAGTGAGTTCTGACGTATTTTGTCGCGTCAACTTTGATGCGGTGTGGAGAAGTGAAGTTATATCTGAAAAGGTAAAACTGGCCTTGGTCTTTCACTTCTATAAACATATAAGTGGCGAAATACAAACATAAATAGTGTCATTACAAAAGACTAGAATGAAAGACAGAAGGAGATATATTGTGCACGCTTTAGATTGGTGGAAAAATTAATTGGAGGATCAAGAAGAAACACAACCCGAGATTGGGAGATTATGCAAACCCCACACTACACGGCCACACATGGTCTGGGAATTGAGCCCGGAATCGTTTTGCTGCTAGAAAACCACTTTGACTCTGCGCCGATGTGAATCTGTAAATAACCCATTAGGCAAGTTCCACAAGTTGTATGATGCATGTTTACGATATTGTAAACAATTTCAAGCCCACGCAGGGACAAAAAATGACTAAATGATGCATACGTTGAAATATAAATGTATTAGGCTGCACCATAACGTATTTGTGGCCCTACATCAACATTATGCAGCCACCTTATGCACTTGAACATCCTTTTCTGCAATCCGAGTCTATGTTTGAGATATAATGGTAATGATAGACCTTGGTGGACAGCTGTTGACAGCTTCCATATTAGACTCACTGTTTCAGCCAATAGACATCTTGGCCAAACAAACATGGCAGCAGCAGTGGTGAGTTTGGCACCATATTATAATAAAACATTGACTGTGCCCCATTACCTCCCAACTGGCAGAATCCAGGCCATATCGTCTACAACACGACACCGAGTGCAGAAGTGACTGTGCCGCTCCTCTCTCAGGAGTCATCAACTCTAACTGTGCCCCACTGCAGCATGCCCATGGAGACACGCGCCAAAACAACCACACTATATATTCATAAACCACTGTGGTGACTAACAATATCCAAATATGCAGCTATTATTTTGACTAAACACAGCACATACAGACCACGTAATGATGTCCTGAAAAGGCTGTTTGAATGATAAACTCTATATAGTTTTCAATTGCAATTGAGTAAATCATTTGTATCCACAAAGACAATAATCTGACTTGGAAAATAAAAAACAAGTATAGTATAATAGTACTGTTTATAAAAAATGAATACTCCAATAACTCTGTCACAGTGTATTCAGCACAGAAAGGGCTGAACGTCTGCATTTTTTTGGGCTGGATTGTGTGGAATTGTTTTCAGTTAGTTGGAATTCTCTTCTCACTTAAAGCGGACAGCGTTTGATGAAGATGAAGTAAATACACATATATCATAAGGTCTGGCAAAAAGAATGGGAGTGGGACAAACCAGAGCCGATTGGCCTATAAACGCCTGTATGGTCGATGCAATTCATCAAAGCACTTTTGACAACATAATATGTGAGTTCAAAACTAAACCGAGGCAAAAGCAGCAGCAGTGACCATAGAGCAGGCTGAGTCATGGAGGCAGGTGTCACATGTGTGAAAGGACCAGGAGCGAGGAACATTATGCACAGAACCGGAGCAGGCCGCCTCTCTCCGGAGTAGACCGGACCAGACAAACAACAAGCGGCAAAGCAGAGGACCTCGAGCACTCGCCCCGAGATCAGGCACAAGCGGTCCCATGTGCACACACTGGATTCAACTTCCTGTGGTGCTCAGATGGACACATGCATTTTCTGGATTAAACTGTGGGACAGTCATGTCCCTCTTACCCGAGACATGCACTCACTGTGAGCTCTGACGGAGGCTCTTTAAGCCCAGAGAAGCGCATGTTTCAATTGTTTGTTTTGGGTTTTGGCAATTTTCATTGGGATATTGCAGAAGAGTCAGTTTGGAAGCGGACCAGGACCACCTCTTCAGGTGGGCCTTGGTCTGCTTGTTTGTTCTGGATGTCTTTATTCAGACTTAAAAATAGATCTGGACTTTCAGAGGAAATGACTGTTCAGTACAGTAGGTGTGAATAGACCCTGAAACACAATACAATGAATCTGAGGCTATGAAGATTTAATGTGACACAAACTACTTGCTCTCGCACATGGCAGTAGTGGACACGTAACAAAGAGAAGGACTACAACTGTGTGATTGAACAAGGTACATTTGCATCTGTTCTTAATTACAGTGAAAACTAAACTGTAATCCTGCAACCTAAAGGGAAGGAATCTTACACAGTATGTGTGCTCATGTACAATACCTTTAAATATTGCGACAGGTTAAAGTCTATGGGTGCCTGGCTTCTCTGAGGTCAAAATAATCAAAAGTCCACATCATGACAAAACTCATGTAGAGGAGTATTGGGCTGAATATACTCCAAAACAATCCATTCCTTTTCCAGTTCTATTTGGGATAAACTTGTTTGAATACATGGCAGTATGGTTGTAGTACTGTATATTAACTTGCAATATTTACAGTTAACATCTTTGTAAAACCTCTAATCTTGCTCACCAGTTGTTTCCACAGGAGCACTTTACCCTTGTCAGGACCACTCCCATCAGGTCCTTTCTGTCTTCTCCTGTTTGAGCAGAAGCTGTAACAATAACTCCCAGTGTGCGAACATGACCCTGCCCCTCCCGAGTGTTTGCACAGAGGGGAGCGCTAACTAAAGGCCTGCTCCTGACGGCGTCGCCATAATGCAAGCTACTGTTTGTGGGTTTACAGTTCACCAATTTACAGTAGCCAATAAGTCCTGCCCATTTTTCATCCAGGGAGGTATCCTGACCACCAAGGCTCAGCTGATAGGGGCACTCAATCCCTCTTGAAAACACAATGTCTACGAAGTTGTCACAAGATTTAAACAATATCTAAAGTGGATCTAGACCTGGATGTCCATTGGAAAGACACAAGTAAACAAGAAAGACAATCCAATACAAAACAAAATCAGAATCAGAATAATGTTTTGCACCATTGTTATTAACTAATAGTCTGTCAGATCATTTTTGATGTTCATGATCCATAGAAAATTATGTGTTATGACTTATTGTGTGAGATGTTCTGAAAGACTGGACTGTCTAGTTTATTCAGCAAAAATAAGTTAGTTTTGTTCTCCTGTAATCCCCAGTCAAATAGAGGGACGTTTGACAGAAATCACCAGTCTCAGACAAATACGTCAAGGGCAGTCAATGAGTTAAGAAATCCCAAACTAGGAAATTGCTTTGGAATAAGGTACAAACAAGTTGTAAAAAAGTAGAAGAAAAAAAGTATAGGAATCCATAAGAGTGAGCTATGAATAGAAACAATTGTAAGCCAGGAGTAAAGCGAGAAACTGACTCAACTTTGGCTAGACATGCAAGCCTTTACATTAAACTTATCCTGCAGTGTAGGAACAGAAGTCACCTGTGCCCTCATAGTGGGACACGTACCCCACATTGAGAACCGCCTTGTCTGCCCTCTTGTTCAACAGCTCTTTCTTAGGTCCACAGTGTTCATAGGTAATCACAAGCTGCTCCTCGAGTCTTTTACATTTGATAGACTTGTCAATCCTCCTCAGTCCATTGGCTCTCAGTGTGTGAGCTAGGTAATGATGCAGCTGGACTATTACAACCATGGGTGGTGGGAGGGGGCACATGACAGCACCCTACGCCTTTTCATAGCACCCCCCCTCCTCTACAAGTAAATGGCGCGGTCTGCCCTTACAGTCACTATTTCTGTCTCAATCTGGACTGTGCATTTGTTTTGAAAGCGAAAGAAGGTGAGGGGCTGTAGGGGGTTTTGCTCCCTCCCTCTCTCCAAAGGTGGTGCATGTTTGAAGTTTGTCCATTTGTCTTAAGGGGGATTGTGAGCAGCTTGTATTGGCTATTGAGGGCGGGGAGAGAGAGCTTTAGCAGAAGGTGTAGGCGACGAAAACGTGAAAAGCCTTCTATCCATCAGACTGCAAGGTCAGAGGGGCGATACTGGAGGATTCTGGGTGGTCCGGTGTTGTCATTTAAAATATGCGGCATTCAAAAAAGGCACGTCTGTCTACTGTGAGAAAGGTTGGGTGGGCCTGCTTTGTTTTTCTGTCGACGTAATGAAGACGAGACGTGTAAAGATATTATTGTTATAGACACATGTAACTTTTCAATGTCAGGTGGCAATATTCAATCATTCTGAAGACGAGCTAAATTATTTCTTGAGACCCACTCTACTTTGCAGTATTATTATCTGATCAAATGTTATTCTTCGCATTCAAATGATATTCAAAACAGAAAACTGAATAGCATTTCAATTTCATATTTGCTTTGTATAAAACCCCTCTGTTCAGAAACCCTTATATACACCATGTACGTTTTCTATGAGTAAAATTTTCTTTGAGCAAACTTATATATTATCTAAAAACATATATTTGGTAAAAACAAGATTAACTATTAACTGCAAAACACTGTTAACCATCACTTTTCAAGCAGACATACATCCTCTAGAGTGTAACAATCATAGACTGTATATAGTAACAATCTAATATTCTGTTTCATCAGGAAGAGTAGCACAGTAAGGCAGTAGGTGGGATATAAAACGTTAATTATGTTTTGTCCTGGACCTGTGTGTGTGTTTGTATATCATATATAAAAATACTACACTAACAACAATGTTGTATTAGTTGGGATATTGAGAAAGAATAGGAATTGACTGTTTTATGTACTTTTACATGTTTTGCTTGCTACAGCTAATAGTGTCTATGATAACAAACTAACTACTGTAAATCTATGTTTTATTTTCAGGAACCACCTGTTGCAGTTTGTTTACCTGTATTGGGACCACAGTTTAAAACAGACTCTCGTCAAAGTACTTATTGTCTTAAATATACAAAAAATCAAACAAACAAAAACGCATACATGTACAGTATATAACAATTATCATTCCTGTGTGGATGTAGACTGCTTTAACTTACCACAGCAGCAACCACTTCACATGCTCCTGTGAAGAGTTCATATAACTTGAACCTCACTGAACATTTCTCTTTGTTATGATTGCAGAATGATAATCCCACATCTACAGTATGTCGACAGCGGCCCCACGCAGGCAGCAGAAATTAAAACAGCTCTTTGTGTCGATCGCAATGTTATGACTAACAAGACAGCCGCGTGCTCATCGGCTCCTCTCCACCAGCTATGTCAATACACTCCTACACCTACATTACTTTATCCCACAATGCCATGCTCCAAGCTGCCTCCATCCCTCACTTTCCCCCTCTTCCAAACCATCCCTGCATGTGCATCGTGGTCGGGGCTCGAGCTCTAGTGTTTGTGACATACTTGGGTTGTGGCGTCAGTCGGAAAATGAGCCTCGTTTGCATTTAAACACTCGCCTCTCTGGGTACTTGGTAAACTTGAGGAGTGCTGGATGAGAGGTGGTGGTGGTGGTGGGGAGAGAGATAGAGCTGATGGCGGTGGTGGAGTAATTGCTAAAAGAGTGAAGAGAACGGCGGAGAACACTGGCTAATATAAATTCATTATGTAAATCCGCAGCTCAAACAAATTGACAGGCCAGTATTACACCCCAGAGGAGCTGAATCAAGAGCATGAAAGCATTAGCGCCACTCACCCTAGACCCCTGACCCTGACCCCTTCACCGGAGTGTGCCTGTTATGCATGCTAACGACTGGGGAGAGGCCGGCCGGACAGGAGCCCTCCACTAGATTCGGGAGGCGTTCTTAAAGCATGTTGTAATCTCTTCTGTGCATGGATGAGATTTTGAATGTGCAAGTTGCTTGGAGTTTAGGAACTTATTTTATAAAGAAGATGTAGTGGCCAGCTCTCGTCCGTCACAGCAAGAAGATCATAAGTTTGATCTGAGTTTGCATGTTTCTCACTGTGTCTGGGTGGGGTTCCTCCAGGTGCTCCAGTATCTCCCACCACCCAAAACATGCACCATTGACAGGTTATATTTTATAGGATGGGTCAAATGTGGGGGACACATTTAAAGGGAGACTGTATATAATAATAATAATAATTCCTGCATTTTATATTGCGCTATTTGGACACTCAAAGATTGGCAAGGTGGTGATAAACTATTTGATACTATTGAAAAGATTGGACACCCGTGTAGAAACTGCCTCAATGATTTATCATATGTATAACTTTGTGTAGGTTTTACGTCAAATGTTGTCTTGTTATTTACATATTTTTATTGATACTTTACAGAAATTAGCAGTTATAGAAAACTCTATACTTTCGACAACCCTCAAGCATACTCAAACTCAAGCTAGGCTATGTGGGTGTGTCTTTCCTAAGGACTCAACATCAGCCGCAGCCGTCCCACCGGAGCACCAGGTGTTCCAAAGGTCTCCCATCACAGTACTAACCAGGCCCTGTCCCTCTTAGAGTCTGAGATATTACGGGATCAGACTTTCACATGCAGGTAGCGCCTCAGAATATACAGTTTGTGTATATTTAATCCTAAGACGTATAGTATTACGAGCACAAAACAAAACAGCAGTGAAATAAATTGGTATTAGTTTTTCAACAAGACGATTTATCAGTACTACAAAACATAACAAGCTAAGCCACACACAACCCGTTTGCTGTTGATTTGTGACAATTTGGTTTAACAACGTGTGAAGGTGGTTGGTGCATGGGGTTGTTGTCCAAAGGAGAAAGATTAAATTGGGTAAAACCGATTTCCTATTCCCCTGATTTGATAACAGCGAGTTATGAGGTAGCGCTGCGGCTCCTAAGCAGGCCAATCACAGCTCGTCTGCGCGTGATTTTGGAGGCGCTGCGGCGTGAACATCCCAGCAGAGGTCATTGTTTGTGGGCCATTATTCATCTGTGTGTTCATCATTTCAAAAGCACACTGACATTCTAACAGACAATGCCTTACTCACACATTAATTATGAAAAAGGGCAGAGGGAAAAGTATGGTCGTCGCATGTTAATTTAAAAGGCTCTGGACGACAATGAGACGGACTATTTGTTCAATGTGTTTATTCAAAATGTTATGATTATCCAAGTGACCTTTAGTTACAGAAGAGCCATTTGTTTCGTGACACCATTCTTGGGCCAGCAATCTGTTGTCTTTAATGGCAGCTTTGGCCTTTAAATGGAAATGTAATGCACGTATGTTGGTTTGGACTTTGAAAGAAGAATACATGTCTAAACAACAAAACACGTTTTACTTAAGAGATGAAATGTAATCAATAACGTTCAAATGGATGAATAATGGTGTCATGTCCGTAGGCAAAGCAATGAATCAAATTGTGTGTGTATTTGTGTGTGTTTACGTGTGTGTTTTTACATTATTACATGTGTTTTTATGTGTACGTGTGTGTGTGTGTGTGTGTGTGTGTGTGTGTGTGTGTGTGTGTGTGCTTATGTACATGTGTTTGTGTGTGTGTGTTTATGTACAGTATGTGTGTGTTTGTGTGTATGCGTGATTGTGTGTTTGTGGATGTGGGTATGTATGTGTGTGTTTGTGTGTGTTTGTGTGTGCATGCGTGTTTGTTCAGATCATCAGGAATTCACAGATCCAGTTTTTTCACGGCCGATAAAGATATTGCTGCTTTGGCTTTCTGCCATTAAATCAATCAATCACAAGTTAATTTATAAAGTGCTTTTCATACAAAAAATGCAACCCAAAAGTGCTTTACAGCAATTTTGGGAATGAGAAAACACATTTTCCCATCAAATCACAGCTAACTTGTTAAAAATGAGTCAAATTGTGTATTCATCCAGCCAGTACCTCCAGAACTTTGAATGAAGAAAAAAATGGGTTAATATCAGCCCATGAATTCAACTTTTGATCATATAAATTGAGTTAGCACTAAATATTGAGTCAGAATGGCGAATTTTCAAATTAGCTGGACAAGTTTTTTGTTGTAAACCTACACACATTTCAGATAAATACTAATTGACTCTGCACTTGCAATTATTTGAAATCAAGATTTTAGGGCAGCCCTGGAAATTACATCATGGAGTAGAATGGCCCAGTGCAACCGACAGTAAAATCAATATCCGGATATTGATCTAACCAACGTTATACATAGTCAATCATATCAGTGCCTTCCTTGACTCTATGTCTTGTACACTTTATAGACATGAATACACTTAGATTCTCTTTTACAAAACTCATCTTATTATCATTCTCACATAGTTATGGCACTTAAAACGAACAGTTGAAATGTTTGTTTATGCCATGGTCCTTAACAACTATTGAATATGGAATGCTCTTTAGAAACTCCGACTGAAAGCCTTGAATAAAACTCAAATAACTGGTAACAATGAGTGACATTCACAGACTGCCCGTTCTCCATTTTGCACACGGCATCATTGTAAAGCCCTCAAGTGCTTTCAACCCACTAGACACTCCAGCACCCTTAACACCAACACTCTTTGGGGGGAAAAAATGAAATAAATCAAGCACGTCTTGCATGTTACACCCTCATGAATATCCAAACAGAGCTCAACAATCACTTAGGCACCACCTCCTGCCCACTCCACAGGCGGCCTGACCAGATGGAGGGATAGGAGCTGTCACTGGGGCAGGTTTAATTGGCCGAACAGACTTTGAGACAGGCGCCACTCATCTCTGACCCCAGGAGAGAGGAAACACCAGTAAAACAATTTTGGAAGACTTAGGAAGACTTGTAATGTT